TCCTTCCTTCCTTCCTTCCTTCCCTCCCTTCCTTCCTTCCCTTCCTTCCTTCCTCCCTTCTTCCCTTCCTCCCTTCCTTCTTGTCACTCACTTTTATGAAGTCTTTACAAATCATTGGACTTTGTCTTGTTAGAAGCAACTGTCTTCTTTTCCTAGTCATAGTCTGCAGTATAATAAAGGCCCGGCAGCAAGGGCACTGGGATGAGCGCCCTCTTGGCAAACAGAGGAGTAACCTGTGGGAGTGGTCAGAAATCTGGGTGATGTGGGGGGGACATCCTAGTGCCAGTGGTTAATCTGTTGAGTTTGTTCAGTGGAAGCTGGATAAAAGAATTTTTATTATAGTGCTTATTTACAGAAAGTGGAAAAAAATCACTAATTAGAAGAAAAATATTCCTAGTCCTACCATTAAATGACAGCAATTGATAACATTTTGGTGATTTTTTTTCCCCTGAAGTTACTGCTGGGTAAAGTTGAATTTACTTCTGGGTATAGTTGTAATTCTGCCCTATAGTGAAAAAACTATCATCACATAACATTGCCTTACTATCCACGTTGTTCCACCATTGATAATCTCTGCTTTAGCACATGCTGGTGTTCCATCACGGTGACATTTAGGAGGCACCCTGGGTGCTCACTGTCTCACCACACCTAACATTTCCTGGCAACTTACTCTGTTTCCCTGTAGATTCAATATTTCCTCCAGAGGAGGCCATCCATGAAGACCTTGTTTGTGGACAGCTACAGCGAGATACTTTTGTAAGTGATACTTTGACTCTTCTGCCTCTTTGAGAATGACAACCGTCATTTCTCATTCATCCTCCCTGGCACATAGCCGGGCTTAGGAAACATGGTGAAGCAATTATGGAAGGTTCTTAATAGATATTTACTGGATGAATAAATACTGAAGCTCATCTACTCTATGCCAGAGAAGTGCTGGGGCTGGCAACTGTGTGTGGGCTCAGAGGACCTACTGTGAGTTAGAGGTACCCTTGCCTACTTTTCCCAGCCATTGATGAAACAGACATGGTTCCGGCCTTGAAGAAGTTTCATCTTTAAGTGAGGATTCTTTAACCTTGGCTGTGTTGACAGTTTGGACTGGGTAATTCTCAGTTGTAGGGGGAGAGGCTGGCTTGTGCACTGTAGAATATTCAGCCCCGTCACTGTTCTCTACCCACTAGGAACCAGTAGCTCGCCACCCCCATCCTGCAGTTTTGACAATCAAAAATGCCTGCAGAAATTGGGCTCCCGCCTGGTGTGGGGGAATTGTACATCTCCACCTGTATATGCTGGAGTTGTTCCTAATTAAGAACCATCTAATAGATATTTAAGTGTCAGAACTAAAAGAATGGAACGTGCCTCAGGAGGGAGGATTTGAGAGACTGAAGAGCATTTGGACAAGAAACTTTCATGTTTGGGTACAAGATTTTGTACTCTAAATTTTTACCTATGTGTGTGAGTAGCTTTGAAAGTGCATATGTAACATTAAAATGTTACATATACATAGAGAGTATCTTATCCTGGGCCAGTGATATGCTGTAGGATCCTCTTTCATGGTACTGGGCAGAGGCAGGGAGCCACAGGCCCTAGGTACCCTACCATAAGAAGGGGAAACAGCTGACACTCTGCAGTATGATGCATTGCTGAGCTAGCGTGTTCAGTAGGTTAAATATATTCAGTCAATTTTCAACTTACAATATTTTCAACTTATGATGGATTCTTCAGAACATATCCCCATCATAAGTTAAGGAACATCTGTACTATATTTATATTTGTGCTTTAGACATAAGATTTTATACCTCCAGCCAATGTTTGACCTTTGAGAGGGTCACTATTGCTTCCTCTGAGAATGTATGGGCTATAGGAAGCAGAGCTGACCAGCCTGAGCTTCTGCTGTGGCCTGAAGTCTGTCTTCAGACACAAGCAGACCTGGGCCTTTTGTTCATGGGATTTCCAGGCCTCCCATGTGCCCACAGAGCTTCCTGTCTCCCCACCCCAGCTTTGTGCAGTCCCTGTTCATACTGGCATCCGTGGTGCTGTACTTCAGCCACCGCAAGGAGTATGTGGCTTGCATGGTGTTCTCTCTGGCCATGGGCTGGACCAACATGCTCTACTACACCCGCGGCTTCCAGCAGATGGGCATCTATGCCGTCATGATTGAAAAGGTGGGTGCACTGTGCCCAGTAGGTTCCACAGAGCCCTGTAGGCCCCGGGGGTGGGAGACACTGTCCTACAGACCGTTCAGCCTCTCTGTAACATCTAGGGAGGTGCAAATGTAGCTTCCAGTCTATTCCTTAAGAATCAAGTGATGTGGGCTTGACTCAAGTGTGGGGGATCCCCTGAAGCCTGACCTCTCTGCATCCCAGAGCCCTGACTCCTGACTGGATCAAAGGCCACAGGGAGAGCTGTAGATGAGTCTCTCATGACACCTGAGGTTAAAACCAGCACACCTATCCCTCCTGCCTGTTCTCTCCTTTGGACCCCAGACTAATGCAATCCTAGCCAGCCACTCCCTTGCTTCTCCCAGAGCCTGGAAGTGCCTCTGGTAAACCTACTCTCTCCCGCAGATGATCCTGAGAGACCTGTGCCGATTCATGTTTGTCTACCTAGTTTTCCTGTTTGGGTTTTCCACAGGTAATTGTTGTGACTGGGGCTGGTAGGAGGGCAGGACTCCTGCTCACTTCCACCTCCTGAGCACTTTGCTGAAGGCTGGGTGGGGGAGATAGATGCATGCCCGCGGGCCACAGGGTGAACGGACAAAGAACAAACTAAAATGAACCCAAGAGCTAAGGAATATGATTTGTAAAATATTTTCAGTGATTTTTAAACTAGGAAGCGATGCTTTCCTGGAGAATACCTGCATTTTGGCTCATTTCATGCCCTTTAAAAAATTTTTGACATATAGGGCATTTTGAAGAATAGTACAAGTAACTTCGACTCTTCTTACCCAGATCCCCCAATTCTGCTACATTTTAAAATCACTTTATCTCCCTTATGCACAGTTTCATGTGCATGTATGCGCACACACACACACACACACACACACACACACACACACACACACACACCCCTCACACTTAAAGAATAACTGCTGGAGAGTGAGTTGCAAGCATGACCAACCTTTTACTACTAAATACTTCAGTGTATATTTCCTAAAAACAAGGACATTTATTTATACAAACACAGTGCAATTATTAAAACCAAGAAGGTAAAACTGATACTTACTATCAGCTAATTTATATTCCTAGTTCTTTTATGGAAAACGAACATCGTGGATCATGAATTCTGCCCATTTATCATGTGTCTTCAGTTTCCTCTCATCTTGAACAGGTCTCCAATCTTTCTTTGTCATTTCTGACTTTAGTATTTCTAATGAGTAAAGCCATTGTTTTGTGCAATGTCTCTTGTCCATTTAGGTAAGTCTGATGTGTTCTCTAGTTAGATTCTAGAATTTTTGGACCAGAATATCAAGGAAGTCATGCATATCTTCAACAGTGCCTTGTGTCTGGAGTTGCATGATTGTTGTCCCGTCCTGGTAAAGTGAACTTGATTACTTGTTTTTGATGGATGCGCCAGATTTTCTGCTGTAACTGCTTTCTCTTTGTAACTGACAAGTCACTTGGGAAAAAATGTTTTGAGATTATGTAAATATCCTGTTTCCCTGCAGACTTTCACCCAGTAGTTTTTTTTGTTTTTTTTTTTGGCTTTTCTCCGGTACCGGGAACCGAACTCACGACCTTGCGCTTGCCAGGCAGGCGCTTTTGTCGCTGAGCTAAATCCCCAGCCCCTCACCCAGTAGTTTTAACTTCCATTGATTATTCTAACACGAATCGCTGAAGCCCATGATGGTCACTCAGTGATGATATTCGAACTCTGTCATTCCTTCTACATTTATTCACTGAAGTGTCATTGTAAGGAAGGGCTTTCCATCCCTCCAATCTACTTATCTTTCATACATTAAAATGGTCTCATGGATTCTTTTTTTCTTCCTGGAGTCCCACTTTATTTACTGAGTTATAACCCTCACTATCATTTATTTTGATGTTCAAATTATTTGAGGTTTAGTCATTGGGGATCCCTTCAGGCTGGCTCCTATGTCCTTTTTATATGTGTGTGTGTGTGTATCTATCTATCTATCTATCTATCTATCTATCTATCTATCTATCTATTTTTTTAAACCAGGAATCAAACTTAAGACCTTGCACTTGCCAGGCAGGCGCTTGTGCCACTGAGCTACATCCCCAGCCCTTCCTATGCCCTTTTGACATGTCTACATCATTATCATCATTATTTTTTGGTGTATGGCTCTGCTTTGATCCTTATCTGAGTCTTATAGGTACCTAGTTTACATGGGGGCATCCTTTCCCTTTCTACCCTTTCTATTTATGATTAGAAGGGTGGGCAGCTGTGACTAAGTGGGACTGGATAACAGTGGGCTCTGACATATGGATCTGAAGTCTCTGCATACCAATCACCATAGGAGAGGATTAGGCCAGAGGGGTCAGTGGATATGGATGTGCAATAGCTGTGGGGCACAACTGTTACAGAAGTTCTCAGGCTCTGGACTGAACTTCCAAAGAAAAGCACACAAGGCAGGAAGAGGCCATTCTGCTCTGAGTTGTTTGATACCTGTGATTTTAGCGTTGTCTCTAAGGGACACAGACAGATGGGATGTGTGGCTGACAAAGCAGGTATGAAGCCAGGGCTGACATATGAGATTAAGAAAGCTGGACACTGCACGAAGGTAGCTTTATTGACATTGTACACATACCTTGTATATTTATTCTAAATATTTTTCTACATATAATGATAAAGGTATTGTTATAGCTAAGCAGTAAATTTTGACAATTTTTCAACAGTTTGGAGGAAGGGCTGCTTCAAAAAACATCACATACAGGTGCTGTATGTCTGAGGAGCAGTCCCGCTACAGAGCCATCCTGGGTAGAAGGGTACAAGTCAGGGGTCCTGGGATCTTGGCTTCCTTCCAGTTGCACCCTTCCTTTCCATGGCCTGTAGCGGTGGTGACACTGATTGAGGATGGGAAGAATGACTCCTTGGTGAGTGAGGCACACCGCTGGCGGGGACCTGGCTGCAAGCCGATGAGCAACTCCTACAACAGCCTGTACTCCACGTGCCTGGAGCTGTTCAAGTTCACCATTGGTATGGGAGACCTGGAGTTTACTCAGAACTACGACTTCAAGGCCGTCTTCATCATCCTGTTACTGGCCTACGTGATTCTTACTTACATTCTCCTGCTCAACATGCTCATCGCTCTCATGGGTGAGACCGTCAATAAGATTGCACAGGAGAGCAAGAACATCTGGAAACTGCAGGTGAGTGGGCTGGTGGGGTGCTCCGTTGTCTGCACTACCCAGCTCGGCACATAAGCCCTACAGGACGTGGGGCGGGGACAGAAAGCCCAGCCAGGCTGGAGCAGCGTCTCCCTCAGTGGGCTCCTTCCAGCCTCTTTCCCTGTTGAGCATGGTCTGCACAGTCAGATCAGCTTAGCTGGTGTTCACAGATGCTTGTTTGGCTGTGGGCTGGATAGTCCTGGAGGGAAGGAGGCAGAGGGCTCAGCCCGTGTGGTGTGCACTGCAGAGAAATCTGGTCCAGGATGAGCACCAAAGATCAGACTTGGGGGTACAGGTAACAGAAGATGGGGCCCTGAGAACTCCTTTTTTGAGCCACATGGTCCCCATCTGCCTCCCTGACTCCTACAATGAAAATATCACTCTTATTAAGTAGCACTTACTCCACAATAGGTCCTGTTCTGTGTGTTTTGCTTACCTGATCCCATTTAATCTTCCTATGATCCTATGAAGGGGATTGTGTTACTAACCCATGTTTGGACGAAGGCAGTGAGGTAGAATGACATTAGGTGTCTGTGTTACAGGACACCCAGCTGGGAGATAGCAGAGCCAGGATACAAGCTGGGTAGTCTTCTGCCTGAGACCCCGCTCATACCTAACACCCTATGTTGTCCTGTTGTGAGGGTCCAGACAGATCTGGGCCACATGGGTTGAGCTCCCTCTGTGGAGTGTGCACCTGCCAGGCTGTGGAAACAAACATAGTATAGAAGGCCCTGGAGGTGCAGTGTGGAGGTTTTAGGGGCTGGGAGTCACCTTGGAAAGGCTGATCCTGGAAGCAGGCACCAGTAGCCAGGTGGCCCCTGGAGGAAACTTTTGCCCCTCTGCTCTATATGTTCTTCCTCAGAGAGCCATCACCATCCTGGATACGGAGAAGAGCTTCCTGAAGTGCATGAGAAAGGCCTTCCGGTCAGGCAAGCTGCTGCAGGTGGGGTACACCCCTGATGGCAAGGATGACTACCGCTGGTGCTTCAGGTAAGGCTTGAACAGGGGGCAGGTCTTATGGGACTCTGGGGCTCAGATGTGGGCATGGGCCACCCATCTAGAGCCAGTTGTGGGTACAGAGGCTCCCTTAGAACCTCTTCAAGCCAGTCATGATCTTAGCAGACTGTCTTGGTTACTTTTCTCTCGCTGCTGAGACAAAATACCTGACATCCAAAAATAAGGAAGGAGAGGTTTATTTAGCTCACTGTTTGTGGAGGTTTCAGTCCATACTCGGCTGGCTCCAAGGCAGAGAGCACATGGCAGAGGGCAAGCGTTCATGGTGGCAGAATACAGCAAAACAACAAGAGCAAAATGAAGGAGTGGAGGCAAGCAACCTCTTCTTCTCCCTTACAGATGCAAACTATCTGCCCAGGGAAGTGTAGCACTCACAACCATGAATCAAAACTCTAAAAGCCTGCCCCATGACTGCATGAGGATTTGGGGGGACATGCAGACACAAACCATAACATTGAGACTACCCTAAGGCCAGCTGTAGGAACAAGGGACATCCCAGGGCTCAGCTGCAGGCATAGGAGACCTGTCTTAGTCTCAGAGGATGGACCAAGACAGAAATTTTGGACAACTTGAGATGCCCAGAAGGGATCACCTAGTGAGCTGGGTCAAAGCCAAGAATCCAATATTTAGAGTCTCTGCCCCATATGGTATGGTCAGGGAAGGGTGGTACCCAAAAAGCAGGTCTTATCTGTCTTCCCTACCAGCTAGGTCCCCATCTATGGGCTTTGGAGATTGGAAGCTGGATGTGGCCCTTTGGTGCCCAGCTCCCTGAGCCCCTGTTCCATCATCTGCAGGGTGGATGAGGTGAACTGGACTACTTGGAACACCAATGTGGGCATCATCAATGAGGACCCAGGCAACTGTGAGGGTGTCAAGCGCACCCTGAGCTTCTCCCTGAGGTCAGGCCGAGGTGAGGGGGAAGGGCAGTGTTGCAGCACAGAGGCTGGTGGTTTGATGTTGGGTGGGTTGGTCTCCCACTTCTTGCAGGCCTTTCTCACTTCCTTCCTCCACAGGACCTGGGTTCTGTAACAGCCCTGCATGTCAGCCACCCCCACACACTCAGCTCCAAGCACTTTTACGTGTTCTCGCACATGCCCATGTAGCCAAGCATTTAGCATGGCCTTGCAGGGCAGCAGGGCCAGTACCCCACACCCAGGCAGTATCCTTGGTGCCTAGAAGAAGCAGCTCAGGCCACATGCAACCCCTGGAATGCCAGCTTGGGAAGGCTGCCCTGCCTCCTCAGCTCTGTTCCTCTTGCCCCTTGTGAGCAGTCAGAACATTTACACTGCACCTTCACTGTGATATTGAGAAAGACATTGACCCAGTGGCAGGGATACACACAGTAATGTTAACTGGAGCAGGGATGGGGGACAGTAGGGGTCCCTTTATTTCACTCTTATGATTAGTTAAGGGTTATTTCTTGAGGATTATATATCTCTACTCAACTTTGTAACAGTAGAAACTCCAGTAATGAATATCCAGAGAATTTCAGACAACAAGGATCTTTCCCCACAGCATGAGGGATAGGAGGGAGTGAGGGAATGTAAGAGCAAAAGAGAGGAAAAGTGGTCAGTAGAGGAGCTGAAAGAGTGTATGGAGGGGTCCTTGGCATCAGAACTGCGGGGAGTAGCACTGGGAATCCCATGTCTCTTCCTTCAAGGGTGCTGGACCTGGGCCAGACCAAACAATCTCTGATGCTGAATGTCCCCACTACCCAACCAGCCATTAGCTGATATCCTAATGGGCACCCGGTCTGTCTTCCCATGGACAGGAACCTCCTGCATCTATGCCCAGGTTCTGCAAGGAATCCTTCTTCAGCTTGGTTTCCTTTTGGGGTTGGGGGACAGGGCAATGCTGATAGGGATGCCATCAACTTGCAAGACCTGGAGAGTTCAGAAGGAAGAATCACAAGGGACCAGCCTCCAGCCTCCAGCATTCCTGATGCCTTTAAGATATGACCAGGGTTGGATACCAGTAGGAGGCACAGGATCATCACTTTAGGTCAGGAGGTATGTGTTGAGGCTGGTCTTTTTGATAGATGAATCCAAAGTGGCCAACCAGAGAACTTGGCTGACCAGGGTTCTGGCAGATGGAAAAACATATATAGCTTAGCTTCTTGGCTATCATTCCTCTGAGGTGCTCAGAGAGTGGAGGTGGCTAAGGGGTGGCAACCGAGTCTTCCTCAGGAGCTCCTTGGGAGTTCAGGACATACCTGAGGTCCTCATTTGAGGTCTAGAGTCATCATGCTTCTCTTGGGCATCATTGTTCATCTGCTATGCCTTGATGGGGCTTGAATTCCAAATCCTAATTTTTTGACTGGTGTTCATTGCCCTAGAGCTGACCCACTGTGGGACCCCTCATGGGGCAGGACATAGGGTTGCTGTGTGATTATCTCCTCTCTTTCCCACTTGAGAAGGGAGGAAACAGAGGCTGAGAGAGGTGAGCAATGGAGTCTCATGAGGTATACGTGAATCAGGGTCAGGCAGAGGAAGAGAAGTTACAGGTGTTACTTGAGTGGAGGAGTTTCCTTATTGGCTGAAGGAAGAGGAAATTGCACCAATCCAGGGGCCCCAAGAAACTCCACTCCTGGGCTTCTTTTTATCCAGAGACTTGTGAGGCCAAGAAGTAAACATATTTTTCTTGGTTTTGCTGCATTCGAGGTAGTAATGATGTTTTGCTCTTCAGTTTCAGGGAGAAACTGGAAGAACTTTGCCCTGGTTCCCCTTTTAAGGGATGCAAGTACTCGAGACAGGCACGCTACCCAGCCTGAAGAAGTTCATCTGAAGCACTTCTCAGGGTCCCTTAAGCCAGAGGATGCCGAGGTCTTTAAGGATTCCATGGCTCCAGGGGAGAAGTGAGGGGCCCCATGTGGGTGCTCTCCATGCTGGACCTTTGGATGCCTGACTGCCATTGGGAAGCTGTTCAGGAAACACCAGTGCCCTGTCTGCAGCCTGGCCTGCTCTGTGCCAGCCTAGGCACACCCCTAAGGCTGCACTGGACATGCCATGGGAGGTGTGATTGGGTCCATAGGATGAGATCTGCACCAAAACTGTCCCCAGGTGAATCTTCAGACAGAAAATGATCTGCCTTTCTACTTTTTACTGACTTCATCAAACAATGTGAATGGTAAATCTCTACTTGGATACACATTAGGCCCTTGTTTTCTTTTTCCTTTTTTGTTCCTTTCCTTTTTTCCCTTTGCTTTTCCTTTGGATACATGGAAATATCTTGCTATGTAGTACAGGCTGGCCTTGAACTTGCTATGTAGTCCAGGCTGACCTTGGTCTTGGAGGAACTAGCGATCCTCCTGCCTCAATATCCCAAGTTTCTGGAGTTGTAGGCAGGTACCACCTCTTTGATTTTTATATTTCTGAGAGTACAAGTAAATGAACCGGAGGAAAATACCTTTGAGAACACAATACTTCCTTGATGTCAGATGCTGAGGCCCTCCCTTTCTGTATTGTGTTAATATCTCACTTACCAAGAGTGGTTTGGGGGGAGTTTATCATTTGCTCCCAGAGGAGTTGGGGGAGGCTGGTCCCATTCCCAGCTCTGGTGCAATCAGATTTTCCCCAAAATGACTTCGTCCTTTCGTGTGAAATACTAAAGTCCTCTCTATTGCTACTCAGATAAAAGTACAAGACCACACCCCAAAGCACATGGAGAGGAATTTTCAGTGAATTTCCTTTTGTCGTGATGAGAATTCTGTTACCCTGCAGAGCTAAATGCTTCCACCCACTCATCTTTCACCAAATAAATAAATAAATAAATGTATATATATTTGTGTGTGTGTGTGTGTGTGTATTATAACAATTGTGAACTTTGTGCCAATCATTGGACTGGCATGGCTAGTTGGCACTGCGCCTTTTGTTTGTGTATCTGGGACCATGTACATGGGTGTGTGCACGTACTATCCTATATGGATGGGCGCCTCTGGTTGTTCTTTAGTTGCTACCCATGATGAGGATACTCCCTCACAAATACACCCACCATAATTAGCAAACTATAGTGCACGGGCCAGATCTACCCTGACACCTACTTTTGTAAATAAACTTTCATTGGAACACAGCCTTACCCACTCATTTACTGTTTCTATACCTGCTTTCATGCTGCAATTTGGAGTGGAGTAGTTGCAGTAGAGAGCAAAGAGTTTACAAAGCCTAAAGTATTTATGAGCTGGCCATTTGCAGAAAGGTTTGTTTGCCTTTGCTTTACGGAATAGAACTTAAACAATCCAGGAGAGGTCTGTCCCAGGCATGGGTGGGCTGTGTGAATGTCTGTGGATCGTGGGACGACCTGCTTAATTGTGAAACTGTTGGACACAGGTCCATGAAAGAAAGGGTGACTTTAACCGGGGCCAGGGCTCAGGCCCTAGCATGAGAGGTAGATGTAGAGGAAATACTGAGACCCCTCCTTCATGTTCTCCAGCATCGCACATGCCCCTGAGGGCTGGCACATGAGGTGCCTGTGTGTGCAGTGAGGTACACCAGACCACATGGCCAGGGACTGTGGAGGAGGAATAGAGACCATGAGGATGTGCAGAGCGTTGATGAAAGTGCTTGATGTACATTACCCTTTATGCCTCATAACAGCTCACGCAGGAGCTATTATTAGATCCATTTTATAGATAAGAAATTGAGGCTCCAACAATTAGTAAGGTTACACAGCCAGTAAACAGCATGGCCTGGGTTTGACCCCAGGGAGTCTGACTCCAAAGCCCCAGTCTTAACTGCCGTGTCAGGCCAGCTGACCATGCCAGCCTATATCCCCGGGTCAGAAGGGAGGCAGGCAGGTTTCTTGCTGTCTGTTGAGAGCCTGGACTCCATCCTTTACTTGGAGGCCTTTCTTAAAAAATGTGGGGGTGTCAAATATCTGCAAATTTCTGCACATTGGATCAGCTTTTGAACTTGTACAGAGCTGGAAAGAATCCTGTGGATGTTTCTTTGAGCGATCAAAACCTTTTGTGTAAACTTGGGATTGCTTAAAGAAGGGAATACTTGCATCTGGCTCATTTTTTCCCTTTCTTTTCTTTTAAAATTCATACACTATTTTTAGAGCAGTTTTATGTTCACAATAAAGTTGAGCAGGAAGTGCGGAGTTTTCATAAAATCCTTTATCGCCACGCGTGCACAGCCTCCTGTACTCTTGACAGTCTGCTCCAGAGTGGCACATTTATTAGCAAACGTGAACCTACACTGACATCATTATCACCCAAAGTCTGTTAGAGTTTACTCTTGCTAGTGTACATTCCATGGGTTTTGGCAAATGTATCAGTACGGTATCCACAATCATAGTCTCATACAGAATAGTTTTACTGAAAGTCCTCTGTGCTGCACTAACTCATCCTCCTCTGCCTTGACCGCTAATCTTTTTACCGCCTCCATAATCTTACCTTTCTCAGAATATCCTGTACTTGAAATTTCACACTATACAGCCTCTTTGGATTGGCTTCTTTCACTTAGCATTACACACTTAAGTTTGCTTCATGTCTTCATTTCTTTTTGGCACTGAATAATATTCTATCATCTGGATTTGCCACAGCTTGCTTATCCATTCAACTACTGAAGGTCATGTTGGTTTCATCTTGGCAATTACGAGGAAAGCAGCTGTTAAACATGCATGCGCAGGGTTTTCTGTGGATATAAGTTTTCAGATCCTTTAAGGAAATCCCAGGGAGTGTGACTGCTGGGTCATTTGGTGCAAGTATGCTTGATTTTATGTGAAACTTCACAATAGGCTTATAGAGTGTTTGAAATGTCTTACATTCCTATAAGCAGTGATGAGAATTCTTGTCTCACATCCTCATTGGTGACTAATGTGAGAACTTTGATTTTTTACCTCTCTGATACATGTGAAGTAAGTAGTCTTACTTTTTTTGTTTTGGTCTTTTTCTCTTTAATGTTTTCACTTATACTTAGTAGAACTGACCAATGCTTGGTATGTGTTTACATTTTAGAATGTTATATTTTTGTTGTGGCCATGTTTTTTTGTACCTCTCTGTACCTTTTCTTTACTAATCCTCTCATAAAACAAAATACTAAAAAAGGGAATAAAACAAAACAAAACCTTTGTTATACATGATGTTATTGTTGAAATATATTTATTTATTTATTTATTTTGTCTTTTTGAGACAGGGTCTCGCTATGCAGTTCAGGCTGGCCTTGAGCTCACTTTCTAGCCCAGGCTGGTCTCCAACTAGCAACGATCCTCCTGCCTCAGCCTCCAGAGTGCTGGGATTACAGGCGTGTGCCACCATGCCCTGCGATATTTATGTTTTTTTAAAGTATTATTTATTTATACTTTTTGGTGCTGGGGATTGATCCCAGGGCCTTATGCATTCTAAGCATGTGCTCAACCATGGAGTACTGGCAAGTTTAAATTGTATACGTTATGGGGCATAATGTGATATTTTGATATATGAGTACGTTGTGGAAACTCTAAGGTAGCTATTTAACATCTGTGTCACCGCATCTGCTCATTATTTTTTTTTGGGTGTGTGTAGTGAGAACATTAAAATCTTCCCTCTTAGCAATTTTTCGAGTCTGTTGCTGTTTGTTTTTGTCTGCAAGTCCTTCTTCGATCACCTGGAAGCAGGATGAGCCACATCCAAAAATTCCTAAGGGGGCTGCTGCTCAGCTTTCTTAGTCCAGGAATGAAGGTGTCCTGCCAAGATGCAGACCAGGGATCTCAGAGTGGCCAGTGCCAAGGCTTGGCACCCATCATTCAAAACCAGCCCCTCAGATCACATACACAGAGGAAGCCCCCATCAGGGCGTTCCACCAGCAATCATGCATAACTGACCTTGGTGTCAGACAGTCTTGCCCCCTCCTGGCCATATGACTTTGGGAAAGTCATTGCTCCCAAGTCTGGGCTTCCTCACCTGTGACATGTGTACAGCCCAGTTTTCCAGGTGACTGTGGGGCTTACAGGAGAGAGTGAATGGAAGGCCTAGAACAAGGTATGAAGGGCAGAGAGAACTCAGAGACAACTACTAACCAGGATTGTTTCTACCATGTTCATTTATTCTCCCACCGACAGCCATGGCTGCCCTTCTCCAAGGCCACAACATGGAAGAAGATTCTCTCTGTCCTGCTTCTTGGACCAAGCCTCTGCCGGGAAGGGCATGGGGTAAAGCTTGACTCAGGCACTGCACACCTGCTCCCACAGGAAGAGGTAGGCAAGACAAGACAGCATCAGTTTGCTCAGCTCTGAGGCAGGCAGTGAAGTTTTTGCCTGGTTCCTGGCTCCTTCCCCATACTTGGCACCAAGTGTGTGGGACAGGGTTGGCTTGCACCCACCGTACAGAGATTCCCCCTAGACCTGTGGTGGGCTTGTAGCTTGGGCCTGGTGCCTGTGGGGCTTGGAAAGTTCAGACAGTTGGGAGGATCTGCTTCCAACTTTCTACTGTGTCTTCTGTGGGTGTTTGGTGACAGGCTAGAAGACGGCCTCCATAGGCAGACCCTGCTGACTTGGGCAGGATGGGGGCAGACAGGACATCTTGGCAGACATCTAGCCTATGGGTCAGGCCTCTAGGCACAGGGCTGGGGTAGGAATACCCAGAGGCTGACTTTTCACTCTCCCTCCTGCAGCCTGCTCCAGGTCCTGTCCCCATTTCTTGACTTATGCAACCAATCTAGAAAGCCGCTTTTTGGGACTGTTATATGTCCTACTCACTGCCCCCAGAATTCAAGTCACCAAGGAAGGGTAAACATAGCCTGACTCATGGTTGCTACAAGGAACCTGGGGCCTGGCAGCGGAGGGCACTTGTTAATTCTTCCAGGCTTCGGGTGTTGGGGCCTCTGGGACTGAGCCTTAAAATTTACTCATGTGGCTGTCAACCCTACGCAGGCCGTATAAGGTTCTGTAAGGGCTATAGGCTTGATACAAAGAGGTGGGACTTCTGGCCCCACACTCCTGCCACTGTGCTTTGAGGACCCCAAATGCAGGCCAGAGAC